TCTTCGTTGAGTCTGGAAGTGAAGGAGATTGAGGAGGACTGGTTCGACGACGAGGACTGGGGCAAGGCCACTCCCATGGTATGTCGTTTCGTAGTGTTGAGACCCTCATGGTAGCTGACAAGGTCTTTTGAACAGCAAACCATAATCAAGACTCGGCACGCCACTGAGGCGACGACACAGTTCGAAGCGCCAAAGAATGGCGAAGGGATGCTCATCTTCACTAACGAGGCCGAGAAGAATGCTTGGGGCGAGTCTCGCGGTGTACGTCCCTCCTTTCTCAACATACGCCCACTTTCCACTAATAGGAAACAATAGTACGCTGTCCACCCCGGAGTCTCCAACGTCCACCTCACGAACCTCGACGCGAAGCGAACGTTGCGCAACGTCCAGTGGGCGAAGAAGCACGCGTTTGTTAGTCGCGCAAAGGATACGGAGCCGAAGAGTAGCTCGATGTGGAACATGAACTTACCTGGGAAGCCTGGTGAGTCCCCGCCTCTTGCTCCTCACTAGTCTGGCTTTTCGCTGAAGTCATTAAAATGCAGCGGTCAACTTTGACTCGTTCTTCAACGATGAGGTCAGCATCTTCGTCTTCGTTCACCCATTCGCAGCTCATAAAATATCCACAGTCCGTCGATCAAAAGGACCTGGTACTATGGATGAATCTCGGAACGCACCACGTTCCTCGCGCAGAGGATTCTCGTATGCTCTTCTGCCTCCCAACTCCCTTCCTCTCTGACACGTAGACTCCTCTCGCAGCCAACACGCTCACGAACCTCGCTACCTCGTATTTTCTGCTCGTTCCCTTCAACTATTTTGACTATGACGTCTCTCTGGAGTGAGCCTTTTGCACCATCTTCCCGCTTCCCTCCGGCTGACTCTCGTCGACCAGGTCGCTCAACTCGGTCGTGCTGAACCAAGCCGATGGCAAATGGACGGCGTCGGGCCACATTGCGCCTGAGTACTGTATTCCTCCCAAACTGGCCAAGTTGAACTATACTGGCATGATGGTGAGTGTCTCAAGCACTGTGTGGGGGGATCATGAGGGAACGGGGCTAACACCTGTTGACGTAGGGGTGGAAGGAGGACGGCACCCCGGCCGCTCCGGATGAGGTTCAGGACTTCCAAGCTGACAGTGCGTGTCCTTTCTTCGTTTCCTGTCTGCTCCACAACATTCTCATTTACATGTGTGAGCAGCTCACGGGATCCACATGGGTCTGCCGGTCGGCGCCAGCGCTCGTCGTGCCGAGCTCTAAAGGACACGCTATGTTTACACGATATGTTTCAGCGACCTCTGCATAAATTGATCTGTGACTCTTTAGCTTCCAAGTGATTCTAGAAGATTACATATTCCTGCTGTTTCCTTCCGTTACCGTGCCAGAAGAATTTGAACGCTGATGCTCTGGGCAGCATTCGGGGCGGGCGCCCACCGCCTTCATAGCAAGCCAGACCAGGACCACTCCACTTGCAAAACTATCATCCACAAAGTACTCAAAGCAGGCTCTGCAGTGCACTACCATCAAGCTGCGTGTGAAGAGGAAAAACCTCCCCTTTTTTTTGGTGTGTGTGTGGAGAGAGCTGACAGGAAGCGCAAGGGACTGGCAAGCCTGGACAGGCGGAGGCGTGATAGCGGTGCGGTAGGGTGACAAATTTTGCTGTAAACTGTGCTGGTAATAGTGCAGTCGAGCTCCATCATCTGCGTCTGCTTCTACCGGCTGCGCCTCATGCGCGACCCGCGGGCTGGTCCAAGTGGCCACGTCGCTTGACGGAGCAGCTTGCTCGCGCTCGTCCCGCACCTCCCAAGCTGGAAAGGGCGTCAACGGGCAGATCAGCTATTTCTTTGTACTTTGAGCTTTCTGAGCTAAGATCGAGTCCCTCTTTTTCGCGGACAGAACTCAGCAGAGCCTGAACGCCGTTTGTTCAGGGCGCACTCGGCGCAGACGCAAACGACACCAACACGCCCGCGCTCGCAAAAACCGTTCAGCCATGCTGTGAGCCACACTTTGGAGCGCACTCTCACCAACCTCGGGGGGCTGTAGCGCAGTGGTAGGGCGGCCCGCTGCATGAACACGTGTGCTACATCGGCGTCGGAGAGGAGATAGGCGAGGGCGCCTCGGGCGGAAGCGCGTTAGCCTCTAGCCGACGAGCGAGCTATCTCCGACCAGTAGAAAGGCGCTGATTGGTTTGCTTCTGACTACATCTTGTCAGCTTCTCTTTCCTTCTTTCCTCCACTCCCTCAGTCTGAATTCAGCGATCCAGCCTAGCGCCAGAATGTCGGAACCAAACTTCGAGAAGAACGAGCTGAACAAGTTGGGACGGCAAGTCCTTATCTAGCGCGTCGGGAACTGTTGATCAGAATCGTGGATGCTGATGAAGCCTTGCTATGCTCTATTCAGATACCCTGAACGGGCGAGATTCGACAAGGCGGCGGTGTTCTCGATCTTCAAAGCCGCACCGGTCGTTCATGTCGCGTTCATGAGTGATGATGGACTTCCTCGTGAGTCGGAACTCCGCGTTGATCGCTAGAGTGCTTCATGAAGGCTAATAATGGCCATTCAAGAGTGTATTCCGATGTGTGGAGGCATTGAGGAGAAGCCGGACGGCGAGGTGTTTGCGTATCTTCATGGTTCGTGCTCTTCTTTTGTGACGGCGGTCACGTGTCATACAGTGATCCTGACATGAAGAAAACTGCCAATCTTTATAGGCGCTGCCGCCGGAAGGTTCTTCAAGACCAATGAGGACTCGAGGTCCCTATGCCTCACCGCCACGTGCATTGACGGTCTCGTCTTTGCGGCCACCCCGTGAGTCAACAAAGGAGACACAAGGGTTGGAGTTACTGATAAAATCTATTCTTCCCCAGTATGCGTCACAGCGCCCAGTACCGCACCGTCATGCTGCACGGCGTGAGCTTCCCCTTTGACCCGTCCTATGACAACGACGTCGAGGCGGAGAAGGTGAACGCTTTGAAGCTTATGACCAACACGATTAGCTGCGAGGGCCGATGGGAAAACACGAGGCTTCCTCCCACGAAGCCTGAGATGACGGCAACGGGCATCATCAGGGTCAGGGTCGAGGGCGCGTCGGCCAAGATCCACCAGCCGCAGGAGATTACTCTTGATAACATGGTGCGCTTCTTGCTTTTTTATTGGTATAGCTTGAACTGACCAAGATGTCTTGTGACCAGGACTCTGTTCCAGAGGTGCTTGACCGTGTGTGGACCGGGATCATGTACGTCTCCTTGACCACGTGGTCCAAGTCATATTGGATGGCTGACAGTCTTCCCTGTCATAGTCCTCTCAGGATGGTACCACAAGATCCCATTGCATCCAAGTACAACAAGGCGCCTATGCCAGAACACATTGCGAATTTTGCGGAGAACTGGAAGGAGCGCTCATACGGCGGTCCCGCGCCAGTCGGTAAAGAGGCCTCTTTTGGGAATTAAAGATATTTTTGAGGGGGAAGAGCTAAATTACGAGTTGTGTAATGGCCTTGAGGGAAAGGATCATGGAATGACGCTATCACAACAGCATGGCCGCGTGTGCTGCTCTCCCCACTTCATTTTTAAGGAGAGGCTTCCGTGGCTGGTCCATTGATCCGGCATCTTTCAGCAACTCAAATGTAGGCATCCAAGCAACCGCTTTCTGTTCCCTCCCACCAGCTCCTTCCTGGTGTTCAACTTAACATTGGCCTCGGCCTCGGCTCCGGCTCCGCGCCATCCTGTCTCGCCGTTCCATCCTTCTGGTATGTACACTTGACACGTGTGGCTTTGACGCTCTGTTCATCTCTTACAAAGTGGGAGGTCCTCCTTCCCTGGAGCCTTTATATCAGCCTCTACCTTCAACTTTCAGGTCTGGGTCGACTCTCTGGGGATTCTCCGCGACGTGTCAACGCCGTCGCCGTCCGCGCGCTTGATTGTCCGGTTACTATGAACACAAGGAAGCAGGATTTGTTGTAACTTGCTCACAGAAGGTGTATGCTCAGATCTGGTCCTGCCAGTTTGCTGTCACTGTCTTCCGGGCCACCATCGTTTCCACCAAGCTTTACGGACAGCCTTCGAAGGCCGCACATACCACAGCGCTGAAAGACGAAGTCCCCTACCTGGATCCCCACTCAACCAAGAAGGACAACGTCTTTTGATTGAGAGGAGGCTGTATTAAGCTCAGTTTGTGAGCCCAGCAATTCTATTTTTCAGGCCTGGGTGCTAGAACCATCGCTTTCAAGAGCGCCGCCGCGCGGCGCGCCGCGAGTGCGCCCGCGTTTTCCGCGCGCTGTCCATGCAACGGGAGCAGGAAATGACAGAAAAAAGGTGTCAACAAAGTGCGCAAGAAGGCGGAGGGTGAGAGGAAAGATGAGGGCAATGAGGGGAAGCAGTAGAGTGAGCCAGGTAATAACATGCAGCGGCGGCAGTTTTGCTTGTTCTCCTTTCGTACGCGGCTTTGGGAGGCAACGACACGTTTGCAAAGTGAGACGTTTCTTATCTGTTGCAGAAAAGACGACAGGAACGCGCCTAGAAGATCACGAGACACTGATGGCACAGGCAGACGACACTGAAAGATTAGTGAGAGTTTTAGAGTCGACGTCAAGGTGTCGCCGGATCGAGCGGAGCAGTGGTCAGAGGTGAGCCGGGCCATAGCCCGCAGGCCGCCTGGGACGGACGAGGGCGCGTCCGTCGGCGGAGGACCCCGATTTCCTACTCCTGCTCAGCCATGAATTTGTTCAAGTATTTGGCTACATTTTCCTTTCTCTACGCTCAGAATCTCACCTGGCCTTTCGCTCTGCGTCAACGGGCACTGGTGAGACCAACTGACGTGGCCCAAGCCTTTTTTGCAAGGCTGGGTGAGCCTGACTACCGACACCAGCATAACCTGATTGCACCCCGAATTCATCATTAACGAAGGTGCATTGGCTCAACGGAGTGGTAAACGTGATTTGACAGCCGACCTCAATCTTTTTCCAGAAGGGGTGGGTAGTTGCACATTTTGAAAACCTTCCTCACAAATAGCGGGGTTATAGCGCAGTGGTAGCGCGTCTGCTTTGCATTATTATTGAGTGGTCTGCAGAAGGTCAAGGGTTCGATCCCCTTTAACTCCACGTCCTTTTTGCTGCTTTTGCTTTTAAGCTTGTTTCGGGCGTGGGTTACGCGCCAAAGACACGGCCTCGGCCTTTGCTGTGGACGAACGGAGAATTTCCTTTTGGCGAGTTTTTAGAAGCACCTTATCGGGTGAGCCTGGAGCCAACGACGAAAGGCTCTTCAGGCTCGTGCAAGGTGCGAGGGAGCGAACCTGTTTGGCGATAGTTGGCGCCAAACTCGTGATGGTAAAAAAAACCAATTGATAAGGAGTCTATGCTGAATCAAAAAAATGCCGGAAGAAGTGACGAAAGTGGCAGGAAGCAGACCATCCTCGCCTCCATTTCCGCCCACGTCGCTCGACCCCCTGACCCTTCAAAAAGCAGTGGACGGGAACACGTGGAATGACAGTGCTAAGCAAAACGACAATAGCCCTGGCACCACTCTCTCGAGTGGCATTTGAAAGCAAAACATGGTCTTTCCCATATATGACATCTTCGGTCGCACGACGGCCGCCTACATTCCCCCAGCCCATGCCGTAACCTCCAACGGCGTCATGTTCCTCGCATCGACCTCTGACCCGAGGAAGTTGAACACGCTCCCTGTATCCACACCTTGGAAAAGGTGATCCCAATCCATGTACGGCAACGCGTCCAAATCGAGTTCCGGAGCCGCGGCGGCGTAAGGCGGTTCAGGTGCCGGCGAGCCTGTCGCGGTCACGAGCGGAGTTTAATAAATTGGGCGGTTAATGAAAAGAGATGGAAAAGAGAACGACGCACCCATTCGAGAGATGGCAGGCGCGGTGAGGATTTGGTCGACGATAGGCACGCTCCGCACGGCGCTGATCAGGCCGTCTCCGGCCAGAGTGTTGATCAGGCCTCGGACCTGGGCAGAAATCGACCGTTGAGTATAAAAGAGAAAGATCTGCAGAGTCCACTCACAGTCTGAAGAGCTTGGTTGATGGCGACTTTGGAGACGTCGGTCGTCGTGTACGCGGACCAAAGCGCCGTGTCGAGCGTCGCGACGGCCGCCAACGACATGCACGAATTGAGAGCTGCCGACAAAACAAAAGTCAACCCGAGAGAAGTCATCAACACCACCAGACTCCACTCACCATAAAACAACCTATACCAAGGCGCAGACAACTGATCCGACCCCTCCGAGGCAACCAACAAATAAATGACCTTGACACTCGTCTCGACAATAATCGCCAAACTGTTCCCCGTACTCTCCTTGAACTCCAGGTTCCCACTCTCCATCTCCCCATTAATAGCATTGTGCAAAAACGGGCGATGGATGAGCAACCTTATACTCATGGCCCGAAGCGCGAGGACGACGGCTTCGGTCGTTTGCCAGGTGTTGTCGGACGAGACTTTGAGGTAGGAGGGGATCGATTCGGTCCAGTTGTTCCAACGGTCTTCGAGTTTGGAGATGAGGGTCGTGGCGGAGGGGATGGTGGCGGACTGGTGTTCGTGGAGGAGGGAGAAGGTCGAGATGTTGCTGTTCATGCCCGAAGGGACGTTGGAGAGAACTTGGTACAGGCCGCTGCGAGGAGTTGATGTCAGCAATGCGAAAAGAGGAGCTAGTAACAAGGACTCACATGGAGTATCTAAAGAACTCGGACAGCGCCGGTAGCTCTTCTGGCATCGGCAGCGGGAGCGGGAAGCCCGAAGTCGACGTCGACAGCGCCGAAGGTCGGTCCAGCGTCAACGTCATCAGACTGTCCGAAAACCCCCATCAGCCTCTTGTTCTCTCCAAAAAAGAAAACAAGAAACGCACCCATCCACCGCAACACAACCCCACCACGTCCGTCTCCTCTGCTCCCTTTCCAGCACGTCGTCGTTCGGGCGCGGGGTGTCTCGATGCAGCCCCATCCCGTACGCCGCTCGCACGGCCACTACAACCAAACACCTCATCAGCACGAGAATCACACCAATGCAAAGACAGGCTGATCTCACATCCAGTCAAGTGCCAGCATTCGCCCGGGTCCTCGTTGTTCTGCGTATATAGAGCGCGGAGGAGCAGGACTTGGACTGTGGCGAAGGAAGTCAGTTTCCGGCAGCGCACGTGCCGACACAAGAGGGACAGACTATGCCGGAAATCTTGAGGCAGTGGCGGGCGGTATTCCAACAGCATCTTTGACTTTTCGTAGTCTGCATCGCAAGCGATTCTGTCAGCTCCTTAGGCCTGTCAAAGCGCCACGTCACGAAGGCAAAACGCGCACAATTCTTCTCCTTGGGACTACTCCCACCCTTCCCACCGACCCTCAAGCTCATGGCAAACATAACGAAATACAACGCCGCCTGCGTCAAGATCGTCGTCCCACTCCAACTCCCCGGGTACGTATCCGCGTTCCTCAAAAAGCTCTTGTAGCTATCCCTCACGCTCTTCTCATGCAAGAGTGGGTACAGCCGCTGTGTATGACTGAAGTAGAAATCGAAGAGAATGTCCGCTTCTCGCTCGGTAGGGAGGTCGCTGATCTCTATCAACCCCAATCGGAGAGGGTTCGTGTCGGCGAGCTGTTGTCGCACGGGTGGAGGACCGGAAGTAGGAGGAGGAGCGACGCGCGGGGAGGAGAAGAAAGTTTTGAGGAGGAGGGAGTGGAAGGAGACGCCGGCGGTCGAGTTGGTAAAGTTTTTCCAGGAGGGGGAGGAGGCAGAATTGGGGAGAGCGGCGGTGGTGTTGATGTCTGGTGGCGAGGTTTGGGTAATAGGGAGGGAAGGCGAGTGCTCGAGGAGATGGTCTGGTGCGTCATTGGAGAAAGTTAGAGTGTGAATGGATTAGTGGGAGTTGTAAGCTGTCATGATGAGCGCCATTATCGCGTACCTGGCTGAGACGAGATGGACCCTGACGCTCGCGGCGTTGGATTACTACATGTCACCAGATCATCAGCATCAATCACCAGCCCAACCACAGAACACTCACTTTCTGGCACCAAAGCCCGCGAACGCGTCCGACGGCGTCGTCCCGCTCCTCGCCGCCTCCGTATCCTCCAGCTTCGAGATCCTCGCCTCGAGCGCGGCGAGGTAATCGCGCGTGACGACAACGTTGACCGGTCCTGGACCTTTGCTGGTCTCGTACGAACACTCGTAGTCGAGCTCGACGCACGTCTGTCACCAACAAAACCGATCAGCGACTCGCCGACAAGTACAAACAAAACACGAGCCGAAAGAGACAGAAACGAACAGAACAAGCAGGCCACGAGCCATCACAGCGAGATTTCTTTGCTCTGCAGCTCGTACATGCTTCAAAGTTGACACGATTGTCAGCAGAAACATCGCCGCAACGACAGCGAAGCGAACGCAAACGCACCTTTCGCGATCCTCCGCCGCTTGCTGCCGCTGGGGTTCATCGGTCCTTCGCCGCTCATCGAAGTCGACATCGTCCCGTCGCCGTTATATCTCACTATAGTGAGTTGTGTTGCTCCAGCTAGCGTTGTTTACAAGAGCGAAGGACGCAGACCGACGAGAGGCAAGGCGCAGGCGCGTGCGGGGAACGGGCGGAACGCAAGGCCCGAGCTGCCGCGGCTCTAGGCGCTGACGTGGTGAGCTTCCACGATGTTGCTCTCGTCCAAATCACCGCAAGGTAGCCGAACAAGGGTTCCAAAGCTGTCTATAGTGTAGATATAGTAGGACGAAAGGCACGAATGAGCGAAAAGGGGGCGACATAGCGTCTGCGCACACGAAATTCCCCGCCCGGCGTTCTCTGGAAAGCTGCATCGACGCTATTTCTGGACAAACGCGACCTCAAAAGAGCCTTACCGGTGAGCTGGAAAAGGTCCGAATAGACCGAGGCGCAACACATCCCCAGAAAGTGAAAGGCTTGGCCTGTGAGGTGCACTTCACGTCAGCCGCAAAACCTATCTGACGAGACAAATTGAGCATTTTTTTTTTTTTTTTTTTTTTGGTGGAACATCGATAATAGCAGTAGAAGTGCAAGAAAGCAACTGTCGGCCCCTCGATTTTTGGGCCAAGTCGAGGCGTCGCGACCGTTCCTTGTGAGGAGCAAAAACGGGTGCAGACAGAACGACATGACCTGTCATAAGAACCCGGCATTATGCTTCTTCCATGAAGCGTAATTGCTTTTAACTCCGTACTTGGCGCTCATGTTGGCCTTTTCAACTCCCAGAAACACACGACGGCTGCCAGAAACACCACGTGTCGCCGTACCTCTCCCTGCAAACCCACGCCCAGTAAATCTCAACACAACATCCTCATTCACACCTTCCGAGCCCATTACACTAACCTACTTCCTACAACCCCTTCGCGCCACCTCTCCTTCTAAACACGGGCACGCCATCCTGTTCCTCGTCCTCCCCTGCCAGTCCCAATCCACCTCCACCCGCACCGGCCTTCGCCCTCGCTCTCGAAGGGTTGATCACTCTCCTCTTCTTCTTCCCTGGCGTCCCTGATTCCTCCTCTTTCCCACCGCCTCCCACACCGACACTTGCAGCCAAGCTGGCGGCACTCGCGCTCCTACTCATCCGCGTCGGGAGCCGTGTTGCGGCAGGAGGAGGCGCTAGTCGACCGACAGTTTGCACTTCCACCCTCTTCCTCCCCCCTGTCGATTCTTTTGCTTTCCCCTTCTCCTGCACCGTACCACTCCCCTTCCTCGTAACCACCCTCTTCTTCGGCCTAGGCGATTCTTCCGTCGCCGTATCCTCTCCGCTGTCCTCCTCCCCCTCCCCTCCTTCCACCTCCACTTCCGGCTCCGGCTCCGGCTCCGGCGTAAGCGAGAGTTTCCGCTTCCCTCTCGTACTTCTCGTGCTCGTACCAGCACTAGCAGTCGAGCTCGACGTCGACGTCCTCGATTCCGGCGCCTTCGCACCGAGGTTACGTGTCGACCTACTCCTTCCCATCCCCGCCGCCGTGGCGCTCGCTTTCGGAACACCAAGGGTCGACATGGAAGCTGACGACCTGAGCCCTCCCTTCGCCCTCCCTTTTGCTCCTGCACCCGCACTAGCACCGGCACTCGTACCCACACTAGCCTTCCCCACTCCATCACCTAGCGCAACTTTCCTCCT